AGTACAAGTACAAGTACAAGTACAAGCAAAAACTTGGATATTAAAGAAACTACTACTATTAACTAGGAGCAACAAGAAGAAGTAAATGGTAACAGCACAACAAGCAGCAGCAGGGTGTCATCCCTGGGCTTGCACAAGGCGTGGGGAGGATGTGATGCCTCCAAGAGATGTGAAACAGTCAGGGTAATGGAATAGATACCATAAGATACTCTTAGAGCTAATAGGCCATATAGAGGGTTAAGTTGATGAAGGAGGAGGGGAAGAAGGTGATCATTGATACCCCAGTCTTACTTTATTGACCTCAAGAAGAAGAGCTCAGCTTTATCACACCAGATCATATTTTCAGTTCTTTGCAATAAAAGCATTTGGAAGACCAGATCCAGATGTTGATGATACTACTTCGCTCTCATGGTAGATTGGCATCTCTAATCCCCTACAAGAAGGTGATGTTGGTCTTAGTACTAATAAGCCTGCTAAGGATTTCACTGCTGCTGAGTGTGGGCAATGCAACAAGAGCACGTACTGCGGGAGGAAGAAGTTCTGGAAGTACATGGAAAGACTGATCAGCGCTGGTGCTTCTGCTGAAGGAGCAATCCAATGGAGCTATTCTGTATATCCTATAGTGATGGCTACTCATGAAGCTAATGAAGGTCACCACATGGTTTTCGGTCCTGCTGTTGCAGCTGGCTGATCAATCCTTGTAAACACTTCATTTTGTTCTTTGTTGTGTCTTGTTTTTCCTTACTATTTGTCCTCTCCTTATTGYATGGACGTGGCCACCAAATGTGCAATATAGTCTTACATTTTGGGCCCTTATTTTTCTGTGTAATGACTACTTGGACTAAAATGTACAAAATGCACATGCTTGGTATTAGTGTTGAATTTCAATCCCACCAGTCATTCAACCAAATAGTTTTGCTTGCACATGCACACTGTACTAGCCCTAGTACAAGTCAAATTTCTATTCCCACAAGTCATTACACAGTAGTAATTAGATGGCCTGAAATCCACACACAATACAAAAAACATGTAGGGCATTAAGTCACAGTCAACTCACTCAAACASCTATATCTATGTAACCAATGATGCTTAACAGTGATAACCACACAAATCCAATCCCAATAGAAAGACAAATTCACCAGTGATATGGTGGGGGGTTATATGGGGTTATTGRATAGTAGTAGCTGACAAGAGAGAGTGTCGGGGATTTGAGGGGATTTTTGAGAATTACCTTCATGACTTGTTCTTGTGTTTTTTCCATAGAATTTGCCTTGTGTGCAATTGTGTGAGTGCTTCTCATGAATCACCCTGATACTGTACCAATCCAGTCTTGTTGCTTATAAGACCTACATGTCTTGTATACTACTACATCGTACACAGTTGATATTTTAGATATTTTGTTTGTGTACCTCTCTGGTATGAGGTTCAGTGTTGGCAAGCTAGAATTCAGAATTCATACCCTAGTATGCAGCGACAAAAATGCAACTCAACAACATTGCAACTTTTAATTTTTTTCTATTTTCTTCATGAAAAATGCCTGTACACAGTAGTACTACTAAAATACTAGTACTAAAATACTACTAGTACTAAAACTACCAAATTACCCTACTTTTTGATATTGTCTATCTCTGCAACTATATATCAGATAAAGACCTAGTTTTTGGCATGATTCATCTTAAAACACAAATGAGTGTATTGATCACACTGGGCATTGGGGATTATTTGGACTTATTATTATTACACCCACAGTAATAAGCCTAGTAAACAAGTCAGTAGTACTGCTACTAGTAGCAGTACCACTAGCTAGTAGTACAACTGAGCTCCATTCAAGAAAGCACCTCCTGCACAAAATGACTTCCAGATCAATCTACCAGGGGACATATGAGTACTAGATAAAGCCAACCAATTACCTAGCAGGGTGCAAGGCATCAACATGGTGAGATGCCAGAGGAGAAACCATTCATTTTTATTGGTGAAGTTTCAKGTATGTGTATGAATTCTGACATTGATGCAAGAAGTTTGGAAGTTGGGTACATTGTTTTGTTGAGAAAGAATGAGGACATGCAAACATTTTTTGAATGGTATGACAGCATTATCTATTCTTATTACAGGAGGAGGGTTCTGCAATTGCATTGCCATGTGCCAGTTGATGCTGCAGAGGTCCCAGAAGAGCTATCAGCACAGGTGTGTGGATACCAATGGCGCATTGTTCAAGAAAGGCATGTACTACAACAAGATTGGTGCAAAGACTATCAATTTCTTCCAGCCTATGGACTTGGGGTCCTTCTTCCTCAAGGTAGAAAGAAAAGAGATCTTCTGCTATTATTGACTGTGCTGCAAGTCGTCCTTGGGTCAAGGCCAAAGCATTCTCCAAAGAGAAGCTGCAGTGTGCATTTGTTGACAGTGGCTTCAGCATTGGTGTTGATGGATGCCCAGATGTTCATGCTGTGATACAGACAAGCAATAAGAATCCATCTCTTTGCAACCCAACTTCTTCAATGTACTAAAGAGATGTATACTAGAGGAAGAACATCTGAGGATTTCTTTGATTCACTACTAGGTTATCCATTGGACAAGGATCGTGATGGCAATATCTGGAGATTGACAAGTCGGTCTTTGGTCTTTGGCAGATCACAACCCATCATTACCAGTGAAGTCTCAAAGAGGAGGAATGATGAGGCAATCAAGACTCTCAATGATACAAGGAATGCAAGGGTAAGAAAATTTCAAGAGGAAAATCTACTTTTTGGCTTTTGGCCAAGCAGAGAAATGTTCTAGACTCCTTCTTGAGAAAGCAGGACTCCCTCCTTTTTCAAGGATTGAGCTGATGTCAGATGTCCCACTTGATGTACTAATTSCAAAAGCAGCAAAGGTTCCACTGCGGGATGCTTTTGTGAGGATTCTTAGTAGTAATACTCCTGCTGCTAGCACTACTAGTATTATTAGTGGTACTACTACTACTAGTAGTAGTACTAGCTAGCTAGTAGTACTACTAGGACCTAATAATTATACCAGTAGTTTCAGCATAAAAATTGTATGACCCAACTACCCACTGAACCCAATATGTTCAATATAATGTTAAGATAAATTCTACCAAAAACTAGGTCTTAATGTGATGTTTAGTTGCTATTTTACATTTTACACTACAATTAAATTTGCTCTGTAGATTGTGCAGTTTATTGCATGCATTTAACAGGTAAGGGACTAAATTTGTACTTCAATGCAAATTTGCATTTTCGTCGCTGCAGATTACCTTCTTCCATGAATAATTTAGAAATCGGTATTGAGAAGTAGTTCTACGGTACTGTACAGGAAAAACACGTTCTTCTTCTGTCACATATTGATGCATCGGAATTCAACTCTTATGCAAGGTTGCCCCCTTTCTTGGGGTTGAATACCGTATTGTATTTACATGTACCCAGGTACCGGAATGTAAGCAAAAAGTAAAAGAATTGATGTTACAATATACGTAYAGTACCTACGTACTGTAGTACAGTAAGTGCAGTAGTGAAGTTTTGGATGTGATGGTGCTGTGTGCGGTGTGTCTAGTAGTATTTCAATGTGTTCAGTTGATATTTTTCACTACGTACGTAGGTACGTACGTAAGACATTAGTTTCAATATACAAGTAACAACCATTGTTCCAATCCCATCTAGTTGTTGAATATCATAATATGTAAGTAGTATTTTTCTGTTTCTTCCATAAAAGCCTAGAATTTTCTAGATAGACTGTTCAAGAAATTGTCTTTGATAGATAATAATAATTTCCTCCATTTTGGCAATCGATATTCTATCGTATTCGCGAATGGAGAGGCTTTATTATTGTAGAGAAAGGAATAGCTGGAGAGGGACCGAAGGGACCATTTTTTTAATATTTTAGCGCGATCCGCGCACTTTGATTGGGTGCGAGTAAGATTGAATACAGTTAATTTGATATGCCTCTTTGAGATTCGTCACTATGCCTTTGGGGGAGGTCACTATTTGGAAAAATTCTTTTCAACTCGCCGAGAATTAAATTTAATTWTTCAATTAATTAATTTTTATTAATTGATTTATAAAAGATTAATTAAATTCTCCAGCCTTTTGAACGATTGAGTCTCGATGATAATTCACTAGGCTATAATATGGCTCCTGAATATACCCACCGGTACACTATTTTTTAATTTATTAATATTGTTATGTTGACTGCAATGAGTTTAGAACGCTTTTTTGAGTACTACGATGAGGTTCTTCATCATTGTTCCCGCTTAGCTCGCCACTTAGTTGAACACAGATGCAGTGCCTTTAAACGATTGATTTGGTTWAAATATCKAATACGGCTGATTTCTTCATTCGTGTTCCATTCGAGAACCACTAAGAATGTCGACTTTTAGAATGAAGGGAAAAGTATTCCTTCGAAATGCTTCTCATCCCAATCCTTTTTTAGGTTCAATATTGATTATTGCGCTGAGATGTTTTTAAGAAAGGACATTAAGAAAAATTGCTTCCAATGATCTCGTAAGAGTTATCTGTGACTGTGAGGAAGTTCCAAGAATGAGTCTCATGCGTACCAAGAATGGTTTCGAAGGTTGTTTCCATAATATCACGACAACGCAAAACACTGGAGACTCGATACTTCTTCATCGTACTTATTGAAATATCGTTCTACAGTACCGTACTACTGTACATCGTTAATTGCTTGTACGGTAGATCATCGATCTCCGGAAATTTACCATCAAATCAGTCATAGCATAAACCACCTTTCTTTGCCAAAGCGCCACAACACTCTCAACACAATAATCATCTCTTATAGCACGATACAAGAAATCAGCCAATCGTTACTTTTAATTAGCTAGTTTAGTGAGATCAGAATGCAGAAACGCAACAACAACATTCAACATGATGAAGCGCCTGAGGATGGCCCAGAATATAGAAGTGTGGCTATCCAGGCACTGTCCTCTCCTATCATGCCCAGGCCATTGGCACCTTTGCGAAAACGTAGTAGCTCGCCAATGAAGACATCGATTCATGCGTGTCACGATACTGCAGAAGAATTGGATGGACCAGATCCATTGTCTTTTCGATGGAGAGTTCAGGAACTCCCGGAACTTAGTCCTGATTACACGTTGCTCCGAACGAATGTATATGTCAAGGATTCAAGCGCCCAAGTAGTTGCTAACAGAATTTGCGATGTACTCAGAGCTTCATCGATCAGTATAKATGATTTGATAATATCAGAACAAGGGGTATGTCGCATTTTGCTTCTTGTGTTATGATGCCACGAAAAATGACGAAAAACTGTTTTCGATTCGCTCACCGCTATGCCTCCTTTTCTTCCCATTCTTCGAAACAAAGAATTATCTTGAAGTGGAAACGCGACAGGGTACGAGGCTCTCCATTCGCCTCTTCGGTGATAATGACATGGTTGTGGTCGAGGTTCGACGACTAATGGGGTGTACTTTTGATTTTCGCGACGCATCTAGAACAATTCTGCGAGCTTCGAAAGGGGTACAGCAAGGAGAGCGATCGTTTCCACCTAGACGATTCAGCATACCACCTACTATCCCCAAGCGATCTAGAGAATCTCATCACAAATGTATTAATGATGATTTCCAAAGTGCTTACACCATGCTTCAATCCGAGAAATGTGATATACAAATTCTAGCTATCGAAAGCATGGAAAAGATGATGAAGTCTTGCGGAGCACAGGACGTAGTTGCGAAATTGATTCTTTGGAATTGTGATTGCCTGAAGCAGCTCGTCTCCTTGCTTGAATCGTGCGATGGCGAAGATCAGAGTGGTTTGGAAACAGGTCACTCTTCCATTCTTCGTCGAAAGATATTGGGAGTAGTAGCATCTTCTTTTGAAGCTATCAGTGAGAGCGACTTGACAGAAGTTCTTTCAATGGAAGGCAATGRTCTAATAGCAAGACCCTTTCTTTCTTCTCTGCTTTCTTGTGTTCAAGAGGCAATATCAAAACCACACGATGCCTTCGAGGCAGTCCGTTGTTTGAGGTATCTTCTCACCTCAAAAGATGTTGAAGCAGCGATGATGGAGATGAGTGCAATGGATTTAATTTCATCCGCCCGTAGCGCTGGCATCAACTGTCACCAAGGACTCGAACTAGAAAGCAACAAACTCATGGCACAACTTCAGAATGTGTATTAAGAGGGGACTGAAAATCGATGACTCAACCTCCTATCAATTTTTGAAATCTCCACACCAATTTTGCAAGTGCATCATGTTGTATGCGAAGAAGAAAATTAAGATCTTCAATTTTGGACGCAAATTACACATCTTTAATAGAACAGCCAATACCCGCTTCTTAAGTTATTGATTGCAACATAATACTATGTATGTACCGTAATATTTTACCTTCGGACGAATGTTGACAACGTACTACAAATCAACACCGGAATGTATGGTGGAATAAGTGGTATTAAAATGAATCAGTGAACTTCATCATTCGCCTAGTGATTGTTCATTGCCGCTGTTTCTGTTGTAGCTTGAATTGGACCGATCAACCAGCCGACACATCAACATAMMCTGGAAAACAAGGAAAATGGCAAATAGAGTTGTCGCGCTGTACTTCAAAAACTTCTTCGCTTTACCGACTCGAACCATCGGCCTCCAAGAGCACTACTTTCATGTCAACATTCGATAAGACCACTTTTTGAGAGGAAGTAAAGGCAATCATCGATGGTTGAAATAGATGTTGGTCACAGCAAAAAGAGAATGCTCACAATGAGCGTCAAATATTCGACAGSCACTTTCGTGYTAGTCAGTTTCGCTAAGTAGTTTGCAATGAGCAAAGACACGGACATCGGTAGAACCTCATCGTCTCGCGTACTGCCCCTGTGCAAGAATAACTTTYCCAYTGCGATTTTCGGTATATAAACTTCATTTTTGTATTGGCGATGAAAGTTAAGGTTAAACCCCCTCCAGTACTGAATAGTGAATGCTWTTGAAATCACAACGCACTCGTAAGGTGTCATCTGTCATCTCCATGCGAAATGCTCGCTACCGGTACCAGTAAGTGCCGGTATGTACCCGTAGCGTACAACATCATGTGATACAGTGTGTTTACATAACGGTACGGTATGTCTCTTTTTGTTTTTAGTCTTGTTTTTTCGTAGCGAGATAGAGGAGCATTGAACATCCCATGACTGGCTGATTCTACAGTACATACTCGTACTATTGTACAGTATTTGAACGCAAGAGACCGCTTGTAGAGAACCTTTAGGTATTTGAACGCACGGGGCATCCCCATCCCTTCAGATGCTCCAGAAGTTCGAGAGCTCTAAACCATAAGGCTCTTTGGTTACTCTTTGGTTACTGAATCTTACCGGTACATCCACTCGTTGCACAAAAAATACTTATCCTACAAAGCGAGACAACCTAAAAATGGGAGCAGGACGAGAGGATGAAGAGATCACCGATCTTCTCACGAAGTTGTATACTATACAGGAGGATATCGGCGCGAAGCCGAAGACCTCTGAAGATGAAAAGCGGGCGAAAGCCAACAACACGGCCAAAATGGGATCTTCGAAGAAAGCGGAGAAGAAAGGATCTAAGTTTTTGGAGTTAAAATCGACCATTGTTGATCGTTTGAAGACTATCCACCAACTTTTGAAAGATACTAAGAAACTCGAGGGAGCGGGATACGGAGGCGACAACGCAAAAGATATCATCAAGATGCAAGCAGAAACTCGCGAAAATATTCGACAGGCAACAGACGAATGGAGAGAATTAGAAGCTATTTATAAGAAAGAAGCACGCAAGAAGAAGAGCAAATTCACCCCTGAAGAACTAGAGGTTCAATCGGAACTGACCAAACGCCTCTACGCTGAGATTGAAAAGGTTAAGGACGCACAAATGAAAGGATACGCTCGAAGCCGTACCCCCGATGCTGCTGCTGCCCTAAACACAAAGGCGCTGGCGTATAATCCGTCCGGTTCTTATGGTGGCAAGAAGCCGTCTTGGGGCGGCACCGGTGGAGGGGTGGCACTTACCGGTGATCAGCAACAGCAGATTATGCAAATAGAGGAACGCGATGCCGATTTTGATTTACAGCTTGATGAAATCGGTGAGGGGATTCAAGACTTGGCGGAAATCGCTCAGCAACAAGGCGAAGAAGTTCGTCTCCAAAATCAAATGCTGGACAARGTGGATAAAAAGCTCGATAAGAATCTTGAGAGAATGACCACTGTGAACGCTAGAATGAAGGAAACTCTTGAGCAAGTCGGGCGCTCCGGAGACAAAATCATGGTAGACATCATGTGCATTGTCTTGGCAATAGGATTTGCAGCAGTCATTTGGAACTTTTCCAAGGTAAGTTTTCACGCAGTAGTAGTGTCTTGGAACCTATTCCTTCGACATGATTTGACGTTCACCACAATTTTAACACCGTTCTGGTCTTGCTGCCCGCTTTCACAGAAATAACTAGGTCTGATTGAAATCGAGAGACCAAAATCTGGAACATGCGAAAAGAATCGTACACAATGCAGCCTATGCTCTATTTTAATAGCGTTCATTGTGAACGTCAGCGCCATGAACGACTTTTTTATCGATGCATCAGAAGTCACTTTTTATGCCAWTAAAATAAATACACAAAACATTGTAGACCTTTTTTGTTTCTACCGTACGACAAACACGAAAACATTGTAGGGAACATGGTATGCCATACAATGCAAGTTGATGACACCATATCTAATTTTGTTTTGCCAATTTAAATTCTCAGCAATCAACTGTGCTCCAAGATTTGCTGATTTGAGTTCTAAGCAACAAAGTGCCATGTTTTTTTTTTAACATAGTGATAGGTTCAATGCCAAGATGTTATTGTGCCCTTTACCTGGTAAACATGAGTTATTTTAGTTAATCACACCAATTTCCAATTGACTTGCAAATTACACTATAAAGTTCCATTTACAGAAGCATAATCTTGAATTCAAATTTAGGCATGGCAAGCAAGTACTTCAGTATAAATCAAGAAGCTGTGCCGCCAGGAAGCCTGCAAAAACCAATCAAGACTTTCAAAAACATCAAACAAGCATTTGTTCAACAAGAAATAGCAAGTTCCTGCTTCCCCAATTGAAAACTGGYGGTGAATAATTGAAAGACCTGCCTGCTATCTTAAGTATAGGACTATGTACAGGGAGAAGGGTTCAAACAACACAAATAGTACAAATCTGATGAGGAATCTCCCATTCCCCATCCTAGCACAAAATCAGAATTATTCATTATGGTATCATTAGTAAAAGCTGCAGCAGCCTTTAGGTCTGGAGCAAAAAACTAGTACACCAACCAAGAAACCATTAAATCTACGAGATTTATATTTCACTAATGACATGGAGCATATGAAGCCAGAGCCAAAATTTAAGGAACAACAAATCTTATCATTTTCATCCCTGTAAACCTCCTACTAGTAGTACTAGTACTTCCTCAGTCCAACAATGACCGTCCAGTGACTCCAATTTTACTGTCCAAATATAATAGTCCCCTGAGTTGTTAGTACTTTCTCCTAACACTTATCAAATAATTGAACTTAAACACCAGTACAATATGACTGTGTAGAATACATGCAAACAGTACTGCCAACTAGAAATGTGCATGTGAGTGATTAAAAATGTATTTTTTACAGCACCACATGAAAATACACCCAATAARACAGCAAATTCAATTTCAACAACGATGGTATGATGGCGCACCTCTTTTGAATACAAATGACCAATATAAGAATGCAATCTACTGTATAGTGGTTTGAAGTATACTAGCCTCAAGAACAACTCTATCTTAGATATTATGTGCAAGTAGCAGCATATCAAAATGAATGTTGGAAACCTTGCCATGATTTAAAGGCTCTGTTTGAAGGCTTTTACTAATTTTATTATTGCTTGYATGACAATTGACAGCGCAATACATTTAGAATTGTATTAAACAAGACAAATAGAAGAAAAAAAGAACCATCCAAATCAGCCATATATTGAGCTTATTTCAGTAGTAGTAAGCTTGTTAGGGGACTATTATTCCTGGACAGAGGAAGTACTAGTATCATGGTTACTATAAAGAAGCAGCACAAGGAAACATCTTGTTCTTGTATACTATGGTTGCTGTTCCTCAAATAGAACTACTATACAGAGATCCTGGGAGAGTAAATCTGTTTGCACTGTTCAATTCTAAGATTTCCCAACTGCTATGTGAAGAAAAGATTCACAGCCACAGCCACAGCCACAGCCACAGCCACAGCCACAGCCACAGCCACAGCCACAGCCACA